CTTTCAGTGGAGGGTAGTCCATTAGGGCAAATGGGGCACTGCCCCACCAACCTCAGCCTGCCCTCAGCCACCCCCCATCTGCCTGTCTTCTGACTTACAACCAGTCCAAGGAGTAGCCAAGCCTAACAGGTTCCTCCTCTTTGGCCTCAAGTGTTTCTTCTTGTGGAACTCAGCAGGGAGCGGGTGGGTGTGTAACAGGAATTTGTCAGCTCTGCTCTGTCTCTCCCTCGTGTTGGGCTCCCTGGTTGTGCTCTACCTGTTCCAATGGGCACCAACCACCAGTGACCCCATCTACAATGAAAAGATGCACCTAGCCAGTTCGGTGGAGCTGTGATGAGCATCCCAGGAAGGACACACAAAACCAGATGATTTTCTACTGCATCATCTTCCACAAACAGCAGCTCTCACTTGTTGGACCAGGGGAGACTGACTTCCACACAAGCTTCTGGGCCCTCTTGTTTTTCTTTAGTTTTCGTTGCAGCAAAAGGAACATTAACAATCCAATAAAGCAGAGTGATGAAGTGATCTCTGGAACACCGAGACATGCTGTGGCCGTTATCTTCCTGAGGCCATTTTCATTATCCAGCAGACAAACATGTGGGAGTTAGGGTAACATTAACTCATGTTCTCTGAGTTGCAGGTTCATTAAACTATCATGATTGCCGTTTCTATTATTTTCGGGGTTTTGCCATTTATTTACCATTTACAAGCTCATCCATATGTATGGCATGGTTTACACTTCCTGGAGAACTGTACTTTTCAGCCTAATTGATTCTGGTAATTAATTTGTTCTACCTGCTAGATCAGATGGAGCTGCTGTCTGTGCGCCCAAGGATTACCACTTGTCTTTCTAACATCCCTCCTAATTATCTAATAGCATGGGTTGCGAGAATTCTGGCTCTATTAAAACATTTTGACTATTAACAGCCCCTGACTGGAATTATGATGACAACTCGATTTTGACAAATTAGAGCTTAAAATCAGGAGATGAAGGAGGAGTGCCTTCTTTTAATTTCCCCGAATTTAACATCAATAATTAGAGCAATTTTCTGAGATGCGAGCTGAAATTATCTCGGCTATGATGTGGTGTATCACCCTAATTTTAGCAAATTGACTCTGGGGAAATGAATGTTACGGATAAGGAGGGGGTAAAAAAACAACATAACAAGCAGAGGGAGAGGCGAGGAAAAGCAGGGGAAGGTAATAAGGGGTGAGACATTAGATTAGAAGGCAAATGAGCTGGAGGAAAATCCCAACAGGATAATGTCTGGGAGGGGCAGAAGGAAGAAGTCAGAAAGAAAGATGTGATGGCGAAAAAATTGGTGGCCCTGCAATAATTCAACTTTGCGGGGAAGGAGAAGAGGGGAGGGAAGCTTCAGCTACAAGTTGCTTGTTTTGCTCTGAACATTTTTGGCTTAAAGAACACCTATTGCTCACAACCATTGTTGGAACACATCAGGGCAGTAGAACTAATGGAGCACAGCAGAGTAGGCATCAAAGTTTACCTCCCTGCTCAGTTATGCTGCCCCCAAGCAAATTATATTGGTCTTGCCTACCTCACAGAGCTGCTGTGCAAAGAGATTTAAATTATGGTGGTTATCAGAATCACCACTGATTGATTGATTGATTGATTGATTGATTGACTGACTGACTTCTAAATCACAATCTCAGGGTGATTTATACACAAGAGAATTAAAAACAGTTAAAAACAGCAAATAGTGTACTTTTCCATGTATAAGACCAGGGTTTTTTTACTCAAAAATAATGTTTAAAAACATGGCTCATCTTATACACAGATAGTGAATGAAGGGGGGAAATTTGGGAATTTGAGTCCCCCAAAATACATGGGGGTGTCTTATACATGGAAAATTATGGTACATTTAAAACAAGACTAAAATGTGAACATGGGGGTACTCGTGGTAAATACCCATTTATCCAGCTGGGAAATCCTGTCAGAACAAAAAGAAAACTTCAATTGTTTCTAGAAAGTGTAGGTAGCTTGTCGGATCTTGACAGAAATGGTTTCCTACAGAACAGGGGCAGCCGTCCTTAAAGCCCTGCTCTGAGTGACTGTGGAGCGGACTTCTTAGATCTTTGGAACTCATAGGAGAAACTCTCCCACAGACCACAGTGATCTATTGGGTTTATAAGGGGCAAGGCAGTCTCTCAAGTAAGCATCTCCAAAATATGACAGTCAGGTCTCTGCTTGAAAACCTTCAGCAAGGGAGCATGGGTGTAGCCACAAGGGGGGCAGCTGACCCCACAATCAAGCAAATAAATAAAACATATTTAACTAAAAGTAGAAATAATCAGAATATTTGAAACTGAAATGCTCAAAAGCTATCAATGGACTATGCTTATTGAGTATGCACAAAAAAAAGTGCATCCAGCAAATCCAGGAAAACTTGTTTTAGCTTAGATTTTTTTAAAAAACAAGATGGGAAAAGGTGTGTTCTTTATAATTTTGCAAAAATTGTTCTTTATAATTTTGCAAAATATACTTGTTAACCACATGAAAGGTACTCCCTGATGCTTTAAAAAAAATTATCTTCCTAGCTTTCAAACAACTGAAGATTTTGATGGAGTCAAAAGAAAGTGATTTAAAACAACTGTTCTTGAGACATTTCATTCTGAATCTGGTAGACAGAGCCAGACAGAGGATGATGAGAGGTGGGTGTCCCACCTCCCCAACGTAAATCCTGGCTACGCCCATTCAAGGGAGAGCTCAGCCCCACCCCCTCCAAGGGAATTGATTCCATTGTCAATTGTCAAATTCTTCTTACCATCAAGAAGATTCTACTAAGGTTCCATCATGGAGGAGATAGGGCTATGTCAGTGGCTTCTAACCTTGATAGCTATGTTCTACCTCCACCGTCACAGGCAAGATGCTTCGGAATACCAGTTAATGGAAACCACAGGAGGGGAGAGTGCTCTCTTGCGCTCATGATGTCCTGCTTGCAGGCTTCCCACAGAGATCTGTTAGGTCACTGGGAGAACAGGATGCTGAACTAGATGTGCCATTGGCCTGATCCAGCAGGTCCTTCTTATGTTCTTAAAATTTACTGACTTAGAACTTAAGCCCAATAGATTGAGTCCTTCCCACTAGGGCATCAGAGAATCAATCTTTGCCCTCTTCTGTGTGACAGCCCTTCAGGTGTTCTGAGAGTGCTGTCATGTCCCCACATGATATCATCTTCTCTTTGCTAAACACACCCAGTTCCTTCAACCTTTCCTTCTAGGTTCCCTCCCCACTCACTATCCCCAATATCCCTGAGCATTTTTGATGCTTTCCTTTGACCCATTCTCAGTTTTTCTACATTTTGGAACCTGGAACTGGATATAGTGTTCCGGATGAGCCCTGACTAGTGCAGAATAAAGTGGAGAAACAAAGTTAAGACTGAAAGACCTCCTAAATGTGCATGCAGTCAAAGGCTGTTTGAACATCATTAGCTGAAAGCCACTCCTTTAAACTCATTTCCAGTTTCCATCAGATGCCACTTGGACATTTCTGTTGTTAGATACATCACCACTTGTATGACTTCTTGTTTTTTTCTGGGAGATTAAGGTGCAGTTAGGTTACTCCTGTTGAAACCAATGGAACATAGAACCTGATTCTGGGTAAGTGAAGTCAGAAGTGATCCCCACTGGATTTAGCAAGGTTTGCTCCTGAGGAACTATGCATGGGATCACAGTTTTAGGCCTTAGGAATATTTGACTTTGGCCAAACAGGTCTCTTCTGCTGCTACCAACACTGTTAATGATGCATTCTTAAGCATCCTTAGTAGGAAGCAAGTCCTATTGCATTCATGGGCAAATGTGCATAGGATTGGGCTGTTAGTGGCTTGAGACATTGTCCTAACCTAAACCATCATATAATCCCTCTCTGTGCCAATGCAAACATGCAACTGTATCTCAGACAACCTGCCCTTCTTTTTCACACAGAAGGATTCTCTCAGTTGTGATTTCTGATCATTTCTACCACACTTTATTTGTTTCAAGCATCTATATACTGCTTCGTGCCATACTTTCCAAGGCTCACTTTTAAAATGCACAAAGTACATTGCGGTCCTCAACTTGTTGGTTCTGGCTCTCACAGATGGAGAACTGAGACTGGGAGATTGTAGGGCCACCCCCCTCAGGCTCTGCAGCTGAGCTATCATTCCACCTCCTATTTTCCCAAGCTATCCCTCTAAACCACAGAGCCACGCGGTGGCCCAGGGATGCACAAATAACCACTTTGAATTTGACACTGAAAGTACTTCTGTGTCTGAGGAAAAGGGTATGTGTTGTCTTGCATGATGATCACACATGCCTCGATTGCAGTGCATGTGCTCACGATGTGGCCACAGCAGGGGCTGTTGTGGCTTCTTGTTGCACCCAGGAAGAAAACATTCCTGGCAGTCTAGAAAGTACACCGTGCCTGCATTTTCCATGGGAAGGTGTGGTGACGCAGGTGGTAGGAGGGGCCTATCCCTCTGTATCCCCTGTCCCAAAGTGGACACCAATCCCTTCCCACGCCATCCCTTGGCGCTCCTGCTCACTGCCCCGCAAGCAGCTTCCCCTGCGCTCTTTTCAGCACCACGGACAGCGTCTCCCTCCGTCGCCTACATTCGCCACTCCTGTGGGTGACATCGGGCAAAGCCGGTTTTTCCCTCCGCCCTGCTAACCCGCGATTGGTTCTCTGGAGATCCCCCTTCGGAGCGGCCCTCAAAGGCGCAAATCCTCTCCCTTCCCCCCACCCCCAGCTTCCGAAAGCCCTTGAAGGATCCACCTTGCTCTTCTCTCTTGGCTCCCTCCAAACTGTGAAGGGAGGAGGAAGAAGAAGAAGAAGAAGAAGAAGAAGAAGAAGAAGAAGAAGAAGAAGAAGAGGCCGAGTGAGAGAGAACCCTACTCCTGGTTGGCTTCAAAAGCAACAAAAAGACCCGGAGAGACAGAAGACAAGAGCCAGGGAGTTCCTTCGGCGCCCCCCAGCCCGGATCCGCGTCTCCAGAAGCGGGGAGATGAACCTCAATTTCACCTCGCACGCGGTGGCCCACTCGGTGTCTTCCCACAGGCCAACTTCCTTCTTCATCGAGGACATCCTGCTCCACAAGCCCAAACCCCTTCGGGAAGTGGCCCCCGAGCACTTCCACAGCCCCCTGGCCTCTCGGGTCCCTCTGCTGGACTATGGGTACCCCCTGATGCCCCCGCCGACCATCCTGGCGCCTCACCCGCACCACCCGCTCCATAAACCGGATCATCACCACCCTTATTTCTTGACCACTTCGGGTAAGCGCTCCTTCGCCGTCGCCTCTCTGCCTTTGGCTTGAGGAACCGCGCGAGTCTCTGTCGTGTGCGTTGCCTGGTACCCAAACTCGTGCCGGTGTGTGTCCGCTATTGTTGGCTATTGTTGGTGGGTGGGCTTTTTTCGGGGAGGGGAGGCTTTAAAAAGGAGAGGAAGCTGCCCGCTTTGCTGTCCAAGAAAAGGCAAAGCTGTCCAGTCAAGTCTAGCCGCGCTGCTGATGCGAACGGTTTAGTCGAGAACTCCCCAAATCCGATTTCATCCAGGTGGTTGCCAAACTTTCTTCTTTACGCACAAAAAGACAAGACGCGGGTTGAGGCTTTAAAAAAATTCAGAGCAGCGAGGGCATCTTCCGTCCCTGCTCTCTTTGATGAAAGAGAGGAGAGGTTTAATCAAAGAAGCGGGGAAAGGGCGCTGGAAGTTTGGGAATCAGCCCCTTGACGCAGAGATCCTCCGCTTGCGTCGCGGGCACGAAAATCCCTCGGTCTATATGAGTTTCAGTTCGTCCTTAAAAGAATCGGAAGCCCTTGGAAGTAAAGTCCTCTTGGTCGCTAACTTCCAAGGTTTCTGACTTCCGATGCTCAAAAATAAATCAAGCCAAACCTTAATAACTTTTCAGCAATGTCACGATTGAATCTGAAATTATAAAATAAAACGCGGTATGGAACTTCTTTCCCACTGAATACAAATAAATAAATGAACTCACGCGGTTGCTGTTTTCCTTCAGGCTTTTAAAGGGGCTGCTCTTGAAGAGGAAGAGAAGACAGATTAATATTTTGTGGAGCGACCAGAGGTTGAAATTATAATTTAACCATGAATCATTCTCAGTTTATAAACGAAAACGAATATTGGATTTATCTTCGAACCGAATTCATCCCACAATTTAGACTCCAGTATTTAGAATCTGTTAAAAACAGGGCGCTAATTGATTTAAAATAGAGACGGAACCGTCTTTTTGACAAAAAAAAAAGCATAAACCCGTTACCTTTTAGAATGTATAAGACTTACATATTTACAAAGGGATAGAAAAGGAAAGGGATGAAAAGGCAAAATGTCAGACGAAAACTTAAAATTTATTTCCTTCAAATTTATTTAATTAGAAATTATAAGTCATATAAGGGAACGTTGCTTGAAATAGCACAGGATTGCAACCCAAAAGACTGGGAAGCTTTTCAAGAGTTGCCAAGCGCACAAGAATGTTTCCTTGAGATGGTTTTATTCAATCCCGTTTTTCCAGTCATGAAAATGCAAAATCAAACAAAAATATATTTTTTTAAGTCGATAAAGGAAAACATCTTAGAAATACGAAAACAGTAGTCGTGAAAGGAAACACACGAACCTTGCAGCTTGCCTATGAAGAATGTAAACGACACTTAACGGTTATACGATTTAAAACGGGGAAGGTAACCCGTATAGAGTATCGCATATAGAAATAAGGAGCCGCAGTGAGCGCGTGTTTTTAAAGGCTGCAATGTAATCAGATGCATAGGTGTCGACTCCCTGCGGCCCTGGGTGCTCGAGCACCCACAAAATTCCCCATGAAGGGCCATGCACGCTGCAGGGCACCCACGACCCCGGGCACCCACGGTCGCGGCCAAGCTGGCATTCCTGATCAGATGTGAAGTCAGGCTGGCGGGTGCAGAAGGTCGCTCTTCCACATTCTGCTCCCACCAGCAGATCCACCTGATAGGTGATCAAATAAAATCCTCCTTAGGACTCAGCAAGATGATAGGGAAATAACCCTGTTTTGCCGGCCACCAGGGTGAACTGACACCCGGTAAAAGAGTCTTCTGCAATGCATCCACTCTGGGACGTGGAATTACAGGGGGTTTCTTTTTAAACGACGAACTTTTGCAGTGTCTTAAAAGCCAGAAAACAAAGGAGAAAAACGAGGGTGGAAGCGGAAAGGGGCAATAGTTGCGGAGTTGGTCACAAATACTTAATGACCCATTTGGACTCACATTTGCATTTGGGAGATTAGGTGGAGGGTAGATCAACTCTAGGAAACCTTAGCAATGAAAGCTGTCAGAGGAAGCGGTTGATGCTGCCCTTAATGGCCTCCGGACTTGCAGGCTCCCTTTATTTTTCCAGGAAGGCAGAAATTCAGCAGGAAAAACTCTTCCCGCCGCTGTGTTGGGGGTAGGGAAAGCTTCACCGACAGATTTTCTGCCTGTTACGCAGCAAAGTCACAGGAGCTCTGCCATGGCTAAAGAAAAGTCCTCCTGAAATCCTCTCTCCCCCCCCCCCAGCCCAACTGATGTAGTAGCTGACAGCGAAGAAGTCCTGAGTTCAAATTCTAGCTTGCGGGGCGAGGGTTAGGACTGCTGGCAGGATCCTCGCAGGGACACGCACGCAATTTTCTTCTAACGCAACATTCTGCTTGTCCACTCAGAAGTCGGTCCTATTGACTTCAATCTACGAAAGTGTGTAAATGTGTGAGATTGTAGTCTTTTAGCTCTGCCTCTCAAGCCACCGCTACACTGAGCTGTTTTGGTCGGTAGACCTTTAGCAGAGACTGTTCGTTCCTTTACCCTGGAAGAAAGGGGAGGGGAGCTTTGTGTCTTCCAGGGAACTGGGGTAAGGGGGGGGGGAGCTGGAAGAAGAACGTCCCACTTCTGTCATGATCGACGGGGGAGATTTTGGACCGGGACGCAGGAACTGGCTCAGGTGCTGAGCTAAGAAGACCCCACCTCCCAGTTCCTTGAAAAAGCGCCCCGCAAAGTTCAGACTCCAAGCACTCCAGACCACGGAAGGAGTTGCTCCGGGGCTCTTCAACCACCGTTTGTTTCTCTTGGAAACCCGCCCCAATTTTGAACTGTGCTCACTCACGTGCGTAAAAGAGGGGTTTGGGAACAGAAAAGCAGACCTCGTGCTTAATCCGTTTTAATTAATCCGGGCCAAACGGCAGAGGATTTTCTACCCTTTCGGGTGGCTGCCTCATGATCTGAATTCAAAGAAAGTGGAGTGCGGGGGTGGGAGGGAGATGAGGCCCCGGACTGGGTGGGAAATGACACGTCTTAAAACGAAGTCTAGTGAATAGGAGAAATAAGAGGTAAATAGCCCCCGTCCAAAGATTAAGCGGGGAATATAGAATTAGGGAGCTCAGTGCTACTCCTAAGAGGCAGTGTGGTGGTGCTAGGTGTTGGGAATGGCAAAACAACAACAACAACAACCCTACTCTGGCGGTTGCAATGCTTCCTTTGTGGCCGCGGCTTCCCCATCCCCGGCTGCGTTCACATAAAGGAGGCCGCAAGGTGGTTTGCAGTCGATTTACTGCTGAGGCCTCTCGGCGAATAGGCGCTGCGATGGCTACATGGAGCTTCCGCGGGCAGGGGCAGTCTACCTCTGTTTGGCGGAGACCATGGCGCCTCCACTCCCAGTGGCTGGACTTCTTAGAGGGCATTGGCCTGGGATTCCAGGCACCCTTCCCACCAAGAATCCATATCTATCGATTTCTCCTTAAAGGTGGGCTGTGGGTTGTCGGTGGGGCGCCTGGCAGGCCCGCCACGGATCCGCTCGTGTCTTCCTTGCAGGGGTGCCGGTGCCCGCTCTCTTCCAGCCTCACCCGCACGCCGAGCTGCCGGGCAAGCACTGCCGCCGTCGGAAGGCCCGCACCGTCTTCTCGGACTCGCAGCTCTCCGGCCTGGAGAAGCGCTTCGAGATCCAGCGCTACCTTTCCACTCCCGAGCGCGTCGAACTGGCCACAGCGCTCAGCCTCTCGGAGACCCAGGTAGGGCCGGGCTGGAAGGATGCGGAGGGACGAAGCGCGGTGGGTGGGTGAGTGGGTAATTGGGTGCAGTCAGGCACCCCGCAAAAGCCCCCGGCCCCCACTGGTGGGGGGAGGAGAAAGCAGATGTCTTAAAGGGGAGTGAGCCCCGGAACGTTTTCCTCCCTCCCTCGAGAGCCTTGGGATGCCGGGTGACCTAGGCTGCGGTCCTCCTGCCTACGGCCTTACTCGAGAGTCGGTCCCATGGAGGACACGAGGGGGCTTACTTCTCAGGAAACATGCGCAGGATGTTGCTTGCAGCTATCATAAGTCCTGGCTCGGTGTGTTGAGAGCCTTTCTGTGTGGTGGAGGCGAAAGGAGGAATTCAGGCGGCACAGAAAGAATTTAAACAGAAACAGTAAAGCAAAATGTTCCTGTCGAATTACTTTTAATTGATTTGAGTTCTCGCCCTTTGAGTTACAGCCCCGGCCCACGGGGCAGTTTAAGATATTTCAGTAAAACCCGAACAACAGTAAAATAGTAGTAGTGGTAGTAGTAATAGTAGAAGAATTAATAATAATAATAATAATAATTTGTAGAGTTGGAAGGGATCCCGAGGGTCATCTAGTCCAACCCCCTACAATGCAGGAATAATAATAATATGCCATTGGGACAGAATTTAAAATTATAAATCAGCCATCTCGTAAGTTCACCAGAGAGATGTCGGTTCTCAAATCTGCCACCCCGAGGAGCAAATGGAGCTTAGTCTGTCTTCTGAACTGGATTGCAAAGGGCCATCACTTCACTTAGCAAGGTTCCAGAACTGACACAGAAGCTCAAAAGACCTGCCCCGAGGACCCTACAGTTTGCATGCCAATAAATGGGAGGGCAACGGTGAAGCTAGCGGTGCATGGAGATGAGCAGATGAAGTTCTGCCACGAAGTCGTGCAATTAAGCTAGCCTGTGCATGTTTACTCGGAAGTAAGCCTTAAGGATCTCAGAAGGGTTTACTACGTAGGATTGCAACCTTAGGTTTATTTTCCCTTGCGCAACTCCATGCACGCTTTACCTGGGAGTAAAACCCCGCTGAATTTATTTGCGAATAAAGAATGAGGCATCTGGCTTGAACCCAATCTGAAACCTACGATGAATGGGGAGGCCAGTTTTTCTCTCCCTATTGCGAAATCGCGCGCGCGCCTGCCCGCCCGAGTGTCTCTCTCTGTGTGTGTGTAACTGTAAGAGTAGGATGGGCTGACATTGCGGGGTGTTGAACAAGCCTCCCTCACACAACCTCAGTTTCCCACCTGTCTAAGGCGCTCGCTTCTTCTCGGGAGTTGTGGGCAGAACACTTTGCAAGCTTCCGTGAACCTTGGAGCGGCCACATGCTCTGTTTAATGGCAGCCGTGCGCTAGGATCCCCGTGAAACAGTCTAAGAAACCCAAAGAAAACTGGGCTCCTAAATAGTTGTCAAACGTGTTCACAATGTAGATGTGGACACACGGAGGCATTTCGAGTCCTCCCCGGACTTTCCACTTGCCCTAGAAAATGTAAACCGGTTCCGCATCCGGATCATCATTTCCCCGCTTTCTTTTTCTTTCAAACAAAGAACAAAGTGTTTTGTCCACTTGGCAAATGTGCCTTTGCCATTCGGTCCCCTCCCTTCCACCCTTTTCCAGTGCCATGCCACCCACTCCGCAGGGGTGGCGTTTGGGAGGAAGGAGTTCCGAATATCTCTCCCTTCTGACGTGCGCCCGAGCCAACCCTCGCCGCTTCTCCTTGCAGGTGAAAACGTGGTTCCAGAACCGTCGGATGAAGCACAAAAAGCAGCTGCGGAAGAGCCAGGACGACCCCAAGGCCCCCGGCGCGGAGGACAGCGCGGAGCAGGGGGCCAGCAGCGAGCCGGAACTGGCGCCGCCAGACAAAACGGCGCCCGGCGCTTCTTCGGCCTCCTCCTCGGCCGAGCCCCGCAAGGGCGGCCACCCGCCGCCCTTCCTGCTAGAGGAGACCGAGGACGAGGTGGACATAATCGAAGGGGCGGAGCTTTGTGGCCCTCAGCACCTCATCTAGGGCGAGCTCGGACTCCGGGACTCAGCCAAGATGGGCTTGGGTGGGACTGGCCTGACGCGGGGAGGAGTGGGGTGGGCGGTCCGCTACTAAAAGACTCCTGGGTCCACTTGAGGACAGGTGGCCGATGGATCTGACCCCAGACTCTGATCCGAGAAGACCAAACCCTGGACAGATGTGAGAGCACCCCACTGACCCATTCATCCATCCTCCTCCTCCCCGCTCCTTTTTAGGACTGGGAATCTCCACCAACATTTCCCCGCCCCGTCGAGTTAGGCAAAGGTTGTGGGAACAGGGCGGAGGAAACTGAGCGAGGCTCAGAATCCGGATCAGATCCATGCAGGTGATTTCAGCTGGAGGAGGGATTTGGACCATGGCATTTTTAAACAGCTGTATTTTTGCGCGCGGGGCTGAGTGGATTCCATCCCCCGCCCCCACCCCCAATTCCTACGGTAAATGCAGAAATTAAATTGAAGTCGGGGGAATGAATGGCAGTTTCTCTGAATGCAAATATAAACCACGAACTCTTCGATCTCTGTTACGTGGAAGATGCAAAGAAGGTAACGTCAGTAAGGCCATTTAATAATACGCGTGAAAAACATATCATTTCTAGGAAATTTAATTCTCAGAATGCTTGAGATTCTATCTCCAAACAGCCCGATCCTATGGCGCGTGTTTGCTCAGAAGTAAATCTCTCCGCCTCCACTAAGACTTGCTCCCGAGTGAGCGCGCACAGCGTTGCTAACTTAGTAAGACCGTTGCAAGTAAAGGCCACGATCCATGCAAAGTTAGAAGCACTTTGCAGTCCCATTAGTTTCAAAATGGGAGTTAAAGCGCGCTTAGATCTTTCTCCTTGGGATAAATGGACTTTTAGGGTGCTTAATTATAAAGGGATTGTGTCTGAAATTTATTCCATGCTGTACATAGGATTTTTTTAAAAAGTCATTTTCTCTAGAAAGTTGGGCGTCTGCTCTCAAAAAGATTGCTATAATACAAATATAGCTATGGATTTTTTAAAAATGTGGACAAATTTAGCACTGGAAATTTTAAGAGACAATAGTCAGAATTAGGCATTTGCCTTCAATCGCTGTACTGAAAGGCGTGGAGCGGGGGAACGTTACCTCTACAGAAAGGTAAGGCGTTTTCCTACCTGAAAAAAGGTAAGATTTGTACTTAGCTAGGCTGGATGCCCTCTGGAATGTTGTTGTCGCTGTGGACATTCTGCGAGGGCAAGGAGGCTGGACTAAATGACCTCTGAGGTCCTCTCCAGCTCTGAAAACCTAATGAAAAATAATACCCTCCCAAAGTATCCAGGAGGATTGATGGCTTGAAGAAGCCAATAAATAAAATCCGTTCCAAAGAGAGGGAAGACAGATGAACCCGCAAAGATTCTCAAGCTATTTAAGCGTCTGGCTGTGTGGAAATTCTACCCTTTCGCCTTCTGCTGCTGCAAAACAGCAGTCTGACGGGTCTTTAAAGACTGCAATCCTATGCTCACTTTCTTGGGACACTGTTACTTGGGAGGAAGCGCCGTTGAGTTCAGCGGGAGGGACTTCTGAGCAAACACGCACAGGACAGTCGTGGGTATGTCTACTCGGAAGTAAATCCTCCTGATTTCAGGCCAGTCTGCACAGAATCGCGCAATTCGTTGCGTGCTCATCCTCTAGAAGTAAGACCTGTGGCATCCCATGTTACCCACCCAATAAGTGCGCCCAGGACTGAAGCCACAAACCCTGTTGTTCTTTGTAAAGTGCCTGAGAGCCCTCTCAGAAGAATCTCACCTCTTGAAGAAGAAAAAACTCACCCTGTGTAACGCAAAAGCTCTCAAGCTCATGACATTGTTGTTTTCCTGTCCTTATTAAACTCCCCCCCCCCAATAAACAGCTTTTAGGGTGGTTAGAAAAGAAGTCTGGTTGCAAGGACAGAGCAGAGCGCAGCGCCTTCCAAGAAAACTTTTTTTTGGAGGGGAGGCGCGCGTAATTGACCAATTTGCAATTGGCAAGAGTAAAGAAGTATGTGTGAGAGAGACAGAGAGACACTCCTCTTAATTTCATCCTGCTATCCCCTATAACCGTGTCCAAATTCCAGTTAATTTCCTGCTTATTCTCTTCCACTAAGCTTTCTCCCACCGCCATTTGAGCAAGCCACACATTCCTCATAACATGTTAGAAAAGAAAACCTCCCTAGAATTGAACCCTTAAAAAAGACCCTGGTGATGGATGTCTGCTGCCTGTAAGGAAAGGATTTTTCAATTACACCGTAGGACTAAAATTCCCTTCGGGTCTAGTTTACTTAGATCTTGCCTAAGCCTTCTGCAGAACGGGAGCATTTCGGGGTGCGTTTGGAAGGGAGACACAGCCCTTGTCTACTTTGCTGTGTGGAAGGACCCCTAAAGTCAAACTTCCCGCGCCTCGGAGCCTGTGGCCAGATTACAGTTTTGATCCTGTGTTTCGCTCGCCGCTGTTTCCTTGTCTTTCGAGGTCCCGATTTTTCATCTCCACGGTCTGATCCTTTCTCGAGTTTTCCCCAGCCAACATCGGACTTGTTCACTCATGTATACAAAAGTTAAATGCTTGAAATAATGTATGTTTCCCCCGTTTTTGTGGGTTTGGAGAATATTAGCGAAAATATACTACCACTACTAAAAATATAATTTTTACAAATCGCACGTAGGGAAACAAAATAAACATTCGGAGAATGGGTGATTGTCATCTTGCGACTCTCTTGCGGTAAGGAAACCAACCCAGATAAAAGATTCATCCATGCATATTTACTCCGGAGTAAGACCCTCGTGCTACATTCGAGGAGACAGTCTTACTCCCAAGTAAGTGGTTGCAACAGCCTTAATGGGTTTATGTGTAAGGAAGGATGGGGTTTATTTTCCCTATCCCTCCGTCCTCTTCAAAGTTAGCTCCCCGCCAGGATCTTGCAGAACTGTTCCCGCCACAGCAAAACGGGCCATTTCCTCTTACTTCACCCCATAGAGTGAAATGGGAGCAAATGCACAGGCTCCTTCTGCTCTGAGGTTGCCGTCGAAACATGCAAGACTTGATGGAATGCCCCACTGAAATCACTGGGTCTCGCTTCTGGGCAAAGAATCAGTTTGCAGATGTGGCATTCAGAAAAGAAAGGGTTTTTTAAAAAAATTAAAAGAAAAGTGGGGTAGTGTTTCTCAAATTATAAAATATTTGTATATCGTCAAAAGGAGGAGTGTAACCATTTGCAAGACCTAATAGGCAGCCTGCCTTTGCTGATTCGTGCTACTGATTCAAATCAGCCTTTTTAAAAACCTATAGTTAGATAGTTCCAGAGAAATAACCCTGCTCTTTTGGAAGGAAGGACAAGAGAAAAGTTGAAAGAAAGAAAGAAAGAAAGAAAGAAAGAAAGAAAGAAAGAAAACATCTCAGTCATTTTAACAGCTATGCTAATCTTATGACAAAGTTAGTAATTCAAACGGGCATTCCCCTTTCCCCAGTTAAGGACTGCAACCCAATCAATTGATTACAAACATTCACCATGTAATCCTATATATGTCTATTCAGAACTAAATCTCACAGAGTTCAAAGGGACCCACTCTCAGGTAAAGGGGCACAAGAGTACAACCTTACTTGACTAAAATGGGGCCCTGATATATTGGCCAGATTTATTTATTTTTTAAATGTATTTTAATACCAATACATAGGGAAAGAGAGGATAGCCAGCACCGTTTTGTCAGAGGCACCACCCACTTTTCACACCCAGGATGGGAATATTTCCTTTATGGGGGACCTATGACTTGCTGTATGTTCTTAGACTACAACCACCATCAGCTCTGCCCATTGGCCATGCTGGCTGAGGCTGATGGGAGCTAGAGTCCTATGTGCCTGCAGCAAGACAGATGTGTACTATCTGAAAATGAACAAAGTATGTTTCTTGATTCAGAACTACTGTGTTTACTCATATGAAAGTGTAAGTAAATGTAATCAGCAGCTTGATCAACTAATCAAATTAAACCTATATGATTACCGATAATCAATGGACATAACTTGAAGTGGCAGTGGGGGGGGGGCTGCCCAACTTCAGTCAAAGGAACATAGGGATGCATAGATAGATGGATGTTTGTGGGGGTAGAGGGATTAAAATCACACACTCTAAATGAATCAGAGTGGGATGTCCCCAAAGCACTATGTATTTATTTATTTTCCAAAATTTATATGCCACTGACTCTAGAACAACAGTCTAAAATAGTCATTAAAATTCCAATAAAAAGGCAAAATATTAGAAACAAGTTACATAAACATTTGAAAACATGAAATGAAATCAGTACATCAATTTTAAAACACTTACACTTCCTAAAACCACGTTGACAAAATTACGTGCCAAAATTCTATGGCTTGAACAAAGTGTTTTGCAGAGACCAAAAACAATACACTGAAGGCACCTGATTAAAGCAAATCTTAAAAAATGTAGTATAAACACAAACAATTGAGAAATACTGGCCTGCAAGTGCTCCAAGTGGAGAACAGCCTTTATCAAAGGTGTCACGGGCTTTGAAGACACTTGAACTCAGGGTTCTAGGGAGAAACGTGCTAGGAGGAAGGCACTCTTGGCAAACCCTCACCATGATCAACTCCTGCCCAGAAACCTATGTCCCCACTGTGGAAGGACGTGTGGATCCAGAATTGGCCTCCACAGTCACTTACGGACTCACTGTTAAGACCGTGTTTATGGAAGACAATCTTACTCAGCTATGAGTGATCGCCCAAGAAGATGTTAAACATACAATATCTTAGGAATTTCTAAAATGACCCTGTAAGGTAGGCCAGTACGTTTGTCCCCATATTACAGGTGGTGTATGTTTGTGTGCACTTATTTTGCAAGTATTGCATAAACAGCAGGGCTGAGCTTTGTGTCAGAGACTTCTGCTTAATAGTGCTGTGCCACTGACAGCTCCTTTTAGTGGGTCCACTTATGGGAATGTTCAGTGTCACAGGAGAGGATATATTGTTTATTAATATCCTTCC